TTCACTGAGAATTGATTTGAAAATATACTTTTATAATTGTAAGTCTAATCATGCCTTCCCTTAGAGAACCAAACTGAATATAAAACATAGACGTTCTTAATGACTCAGAAATGTACGCAGGTTTGTGCTTCAGAATCAACGGCAGTAAAATAATTCTGGAGTTTTTATCTGAAGTACAAAGAAAACAAGGATATATCATTTAGACCTTTATCTTTCCCAATAGCAGCGTAGGTAGAGCTGGATGAATGGGAGTAAAAATAGAAAACTGTAATTCTTCACAAAGACGGCAATTTTTAGAAACCTGATAGATGCCTCTAATGACAGCATGGTTTTGTATATAGTCTGTGAAACTTCAAATCCTTCTTCACAAGAGTGTAGCTGACAGAGTATCTGTGAAGGACTGGCACACAACCCCTCATGTTGTTCACTCTCCCCCTGGTGATGTATCTGCGAAGGAGGGAACATGGCCCTAACAAACAGAACACTTAGCACATAAAATTACCATTACAGTTAAGATAGTACTACTGGCAGCAGACTGAAGCTCTAAGTGCACCTCTTAATGAAGCTATCACATATAATTCTGCCCATAGTGGAATTAAAAGCTATATTTTCATGTCATTTTTTTATTCCAAATGTATTATCGCACACTCACTCTGAAAAATTTGTCCTTTTTCTAAGGCATGTTAGAAATAAAGTTTTGAAAAGGCAAAAAAAAAGATTGTTAATAATAATAACAGAAATAACAATAAAAGAGTCATAGAAAGGTAGAGAATGAAAGATTAGCAAAATGCAATTTCAAGGCATTAGTTTCAAGCACGAAGTATCTGCCATTAAACACCTTCATTGTCATCTCCTATTTGCTAGCTTCAGTAACTGACTTCAAAGTTAAACACAATAAAAGCCTTATGTTGTGATTTTATAAGACTGACCTGCCCTCCAAACCCATCCTTTTCAGTAGGCCCATTAAACAATGTGTCTTTTTTTAGGAACGGGTGGCATGTCATTAAAAGCCTAACACAGTCTCTCAGAATGATGAACTACCTGAGCCATAATTATATAATAAATTCCTTAGGATGCAGTCTCTGCGGGAGAATCATCAAGATTAGAAGAGTCTCAGAGACTTTTAAATTAAATAAATATATCTGCAGTTTTAATGTTCAAGGCTCACGTACAGGGAAATGTGGAATAATAAAATCTTTCAGTTAACAGATTTTTTATATGTGTTGCCATGGGTACAAACACACAGCAAGAAAAGCTCTATCAGAATAAGGACAGGAAATGATCAATTAAAAATGGGGGGGAGGAGGGAGAACCCAAAGCAGATCCCCCAACAATGCAGTCTTGAACTATATCTTTTTGAGAGTTGGAGGACCTGAGTCACAGATTCCAGATTGCACGTGAGTGAGTAGAGAGGAGAATGGTTACTCCAGAGATCCTCTTTGCTCTAGGCTTGAGGTGCTAAAACCTTCTCTTTTCCATTGGAGGAACCAGAGATTCATAGCAAATATAATCTCTAAGAAATTATTTACCTCCAAGTATTTTCTTGTACTCTTCAGAAAAATTAATCATTGTTCATATAAACAAAAAAAAAATCCATTACGGTAATATGTGTTGTGTTGCTCTTTTCCTTTCCTTGTGAAAACAAGTTTTACAGCTAGAGGTCATTTCTAATGACACATCTTTCAGACTGTCTATAACGGAGTGAGTCTGTAATAGAATATATACTCCATTCCTGTCTCATCCACAATGGGAAAGTTTCAGAAATGACTAATGGGTCTCCCAAAGAACTTTTTTTGCCTTTAGGTATAGTATGACAATGTCTTCATAACTAGAGAACTGGGTATAACCTGCTGGAATTAGCTTTCAAGTAGCAACAGCTGAAAAGTGCTATGAGTAATGGTGGCAGCTGGGACTGTGAGAAGCTCCTGTTGGCCTCAAAAACTGCTTAATAAAACTTTTTAATATACAGGGAATAGTCAGAAAGTAATTGTAAACAATAGTTAGACTGTGGGGATCTTGCATCTCCATTAGAATTCCAATTATGTATACTTTATGTACATGTGGCACCTCATCCACAAAAATAAAAAAACCTGACAGTATCATAATTTTTCTGAGTATGTGGTACAGCCAGCACTGAGCATTCTCTGTCCATAAACCAAGATTTCATCATGATGTTTGCCCATCCCAGTACTGATGACTTCTTGTTGCCAAATACATCTAAATGTTACAGAGTTCATTCACTTTTGTTGAACTGTGAGATTTCTGTATGCAAAAGAACCTGTTTACCTAACGTGGTCCAACAAATGCTTTTTTTGCCTTGTAAACTGACCTGAAGCATTTGATTGGTTTTTACTCTATTCACAGTTGAGGTTGTTTTGAGACAGCAAAATCCCTCTCCCTTGAACGTCATTTGGATTCATTAAAGGTAGCAAGGGCTGAAGCCTCTGAGTGTTTCACAATGTGCACCTCTGAGTTTTTCTTATATAGCTGCACATTGTTCACTGCAGTGCAGTAAAGCTGCAGCTTCCAGAGCCCAATCCTACCATTAAACGTTCAGTGAAAAGATTTACAGCTCCTTTGTGCCACAAGTATCTTGCTTTTAATTCAGTACCAAAGACTCAAGGTTAACAAAAAAGCCCTTGCTGCTCGAGAAAAACACTGCAATACTCTTTAAAGGAATGCTATAGGAAGAGAACAGAATTTATTAATAGTGTTCACAGATTAGGCTGCTTTGAGGGTTCTTTCCTTGATGTTTACAACACTATTTCAGCAAAACATTGATGTCTTTATTTTGTTTTTTAAGCAGAACTAATTTAAATTTTTAACCTTCTCAAAGCAAAATTTTTATCTGAGTCTCTTCTTCATTCCAGTCAAGTACTTATTATTGCCATTATAGCCCTCAGAGGGAAAAAAATTTTCTAGTGTCTGCCTTTCTGTTCTAATTTCTCCCTGAGTCCTCATCCCTGTGAAGGTCACTGAAAAACAAGAACTTCCTTTCTTTTGTAGAAGATAAGTGCTATCTGCCTGAAAGTTCCTTCTTCAAGTGGCAGACATGTTGCCTCTGATTTTTCAATATCTTAGTGAGCCACCTTTTCTCTGAGACATGATTTTTGTCTTAATAATTATCCTAGCTTTTGAACCAAAAGTATGGTGCATTATTATTCTCACTGAGCTACTGAAAGAAAATAGTTTGAGGGAACACACTAATTAAAAATCTATTAAATATGAATAAGCCCCATTTACCTGCTTTCTTAATGTAAACAGTTCTATAATACTACTGCAAAATCATAGTTTGAGGCCACTGCAATGGGGTACTGACTATTTTAGAAGTATGCTATCAACAGAAAGGAATGCTGGGGGTCACACTTACCCAGTTTTGGCAAAGTTAGTCCAGTATGTCATAACCACTGCACTGAGCATGACATCATTCTTGGAAAAGTTGCAGTTGAACAGTTCTGTGGGACCAATCATAGGAATCCCAAACACATAAGGGACTTCATCACCATGAGCTGAATCAGCCCAGCTGGGTTTCATTTCACTTTGGCAATGGTGATAAAATGCATAGAAATATGTTGGAGATCCATACTGGGCATGCAGGTCAGCAGTAGCAACAGCTGGAGCAACCCACTGGTGGTCTGTAAAAAGAGCAACCAGGGTCTTCCGTCTTGTTTCAGGGTTTTCCTTGTCTGCCCAGTCTGTGTACATGAATTTAATGGTCTCTCGCAGTGTATCCTTCCCTTCTGGATAACCATAAAGATTGTCCACAAAATTGGAGACAGAAAAGTCAAAATCATTGGGGGAAACACCATCTTCATTGTCTACAATTCCATCCACAAATTTTAAACCTTCCCCTTGATTCACGCCCAGCATTATATCATAGTTAAGGAATTCCCCTTGCTCCATTAGAATCTGAGGGTCATCTGGAATCACGTCTCCATCTATCACAGGCCCAAAGGCAATATGGTACGTGGCTGGAGTGATGGTCTGTTGAATGAGTTCTTTGTAATTCTTATTCCGAAGACATTCAACCAAATCAGTGGTATCCAGCATGTCGCAGCCCACTTTATCTGCCAATATCCGAGTGTACTTGGCAGGCTGATAGTTCACTGCCCAGCTGGACAGGGCTGTTCCACTCTGTATGATTGCCTTTTGGAACAAACCTGCAGGTGCAAATTGTTTAAATACAAATCCAATTAGACATTTAGAAAATATGCGTATAAAAAAATCAAAAAAATTAAAAGCATTTCTTACAAAGCCAAAAAAGCTCTGATTATACAATCACTAAAGAATGCATAAACCAAAATTTCTATTCAATTTCCATAGATCCTAACCACTACTCTCTTTTTATACTATCTCAAATAAGCTACTAATTAAAATCTCTCATGTTCTTGGTGCTCACACACATAAAGCATGAAGGATTCAGGTTGCTGTTTCAGCTCGTGCTTATACTGCAGATTTCTTGCATCTGTGATGGAAGTCCCCTGGCTTTGCCACAGTTGTAGTTCTGTGAAAATTTCTTTAAAGGATTGGCAGCTACAAGTAATCATATCGTCTTTGCCATGTAAATGACACTCATAAATGCATCTTTCAGTAGTTTAAAGGTCAAATGAAAACTACACAGTCTAATTTCCTTCACAGAAGTCATGCATCATATAACTTAAACTGCTTTTATTGAAACAGATTTTTTTAATAGGTTTGAATCTTCTACTCAGAAAATTTTGCTACCATTTAATGTTTTTATTATTGTTTTGTGTGTATATGTTATTACTACCTACATGTTGAATTTTGCATGTGTGTATTAGCACTGCCTATATGTTGAACAAAAATATATTTAAATATTTTTGAAAGAGAGTGAGATGAGATTCAATAGTTCTAACTGGTTTCTTTATGTGTACTAATAAAAAGAGTACTGAAAATCTGATCTGAAAAGCTTCTTTGTGTCAGAGCACAGAAAAAGCAATGGGAGCTTACTGGTGAAGCTGCCCCATCTCTTTTTCTCTGGTAAGACCACTAGAATGGCCTATTTTATATTTAAAATTAAATGCTTGGATGTCTTCTTGACATGATTTCTACTGTTAAGCTCTCAAAATGTCAAAGAGAGCAACAGCTACAAAAGCATGTGGGTTTTGTTGTTGATATACCTTTGAGATGGTTACTTAATGCACATACAAGAAAATTTCAATTATTTGATCAGTTAAGTTTTTCATGGTTCCATCTGCTTGATTTATCCACTGCACTCTTATTTGTATCAGCTGACTGAACTGTCAAGCACAATGGTATGCGTTTCAAAATGGGGGGGTGTTTACCAATCACCCTCTGTAACTGTTTGCTAGGGCTTAGCTTTCTGTCACAAATTCCTGTCTGTTTTGATGTGATAAAAATGGCACGGACTTATAAATATAATAGATAATTTCATGTTGTCTTCTTTTATAAATTCTTTGTAGATTTGGTCTTATCAACATGAATATTTATTATTTGGTACTCCTGCTGAACATTCTTGGTGCTTGTTGTTTTTTTCTTTTTTAGCGGGGTGAAGTGTTAAGGGTAGAAATCCCACAGCTCACTTACCAAAATCTTAAGAAAACTGTGTGGGATCACACAGTTTTTGTGGGGAGTTAAATACAGTTTTTAATAAGCTTGAGTTATGTTATTATTAAGTAAAGAAAGCATCTAAATATATGTTGGAAGTGCAGCCAAGAGTGTGTAAAAAATCAAAAAGGTCACTGCTCTCTTCCATTTTAATTAGGGCAACTTCTTTGACAGGAGACCCAGTGGAATTTGTTGATAAAACTAGAAAAAAGTATATTGCCCATGGCATTTGTTGCATGAGATTTATGCTGTAATAACATTTAGTTTGCCCTATAAATATATTTTTACGTTGACGAATACAAGTCCATAATACTAACTAGTAGATATTTTACAAAAATTACAGACCTCATGTAATTCTAATTCAGCCTACCTCATACGGCCATTTTCATGACACTAGAAGGATAAAAAAAAAAAAAAAGTGCTGTGCTTACCTTCTGAATAGTGGGAGAGTGTCAGGAGACTGACACAGGAAGCTCCTGCCCCAGATCCAAAAATAGTAACTCTTTTTGGGTCTCCTCCAAAGGATCCGATATTTTCTTCAATCCAGCGTAAAGCTTGGATTTGGTCAAGCAATCCGTAGTTGCCTTTTGCAGCTTGGTCCCCCGTACTTAAAAAACCTATAAGGCAAAACCCCATAACTTTAGTTCATGAGACAGAGTTAGCTACAGGATATCTACATATTCATAACACATCTTCCCATCCTTTCATCTTCTGCGCTTTTTTTCCCTTTGTTTTTTCTTTTTTTTTTTTTTTTTTTTAAAGGTCATAGTCCTAGTTAAATGTCTCCAGAACAGGCAGTGAAACTTATTCTCATGCTGTTTGGCGTTAGTTTGTTTTTCCCTACTGCAGAGGTCATGTTTATGAAGAATCACTATTTCCTTTATGAAACATTCCTGTAACA